GTGCCGGCGCCGCCACACGCTCGCGTCATGGTACTGTCGTGAACGCGCGTCCAAAGTGACGCAGTAAAGACGAAAATGTGGAATAAAGTTGTTATTTTTGTTTTCTTTGCGCAAAAAATGTATTCTCATAGCTTCGTAACTTTACAGTTGACCCACTGATGTCACACGGACTACTTTGTCGATCATCTTGGTACTTTTCTGGACCTTGAATGTGGTAGTTACCTTGCTGTCTATGGGAGGGTCAGAGAGCCCTCATATTTCATCAAAAATATCTTAAATTGTGTTCCGAAGATGAACGAAGGTCTTACGGGTTTCGAACAACACGAGGGTGAGTAATTAATGACATAATTTTCATTTTTGGGTAAACTAACCCTTTAAATGACATTATAGCTAATAAGATGTGTTGCCACGTCCAAGGTTGGGGACTATTAAACATATAGTTCACCCAAAAATTTAAATTCTGTCATAATTTACTCACCTTCATGTCATTCCAATTCAGTTATTTTCTTTCTTGTTTAGAACATAAAAGAAGATATTTTGAGACAGTCTTGTGTTGTCCATACAATGGGCATCAGTGGTCACCAAACCAGTTTGGTTACCAACATTCTTCAGAATATCTTCTTTTGTGTTCCGAAGAAAGAAAGAAAGTCATACAGGCTGGAGTGAGATGAAGGTAAGTAAATGATGACAGAAGTTTCATTTTTGGGGCAACAAGGCACCAAACCCCACTTTGAGATTTACTGTTGTTTGCTTTGAATAAATGGTTCAGTGACAAGAAATCAGCCAAACAAGGAGGGGAATGTAAATCGTAATTTAATCCTCTTCATGCCACCACAAACAACATTCAGAAATTAAAATGGTATAGTCCATAGCAGTTTTGTATTTTGAATGGTGGGGAAAACTTCTGAAGAAATTTATTTCAGTGTCTTTAACAAATACGTACAGTATATACACCGTATAGCTTGAACTACTGTTAAAGCTATAAGAAATTATCCATCTTGACAAACCTATGCTAATTCAGTTGGATACATTTATAAATATATAGCATGTGTGTTCAAAAACTGCATATGTATAATATATGCATATATTATACATATGCATGAAATAACTTTTATTTTTTATTTTTTAAAGAGTAAAGAATTTTTGCATGGTAGATCAGGTGACTGCTGCCATGGAAAATCTTTAATGCATCTGTTCAGGTCTCATACAGTAATTGCAGTCATGCTGGCTGATGCTTGCTCAATCTGCATTTCAAATGCACAGCATGAGCTTTGGAAAAAGAATAGAAAATTTTGTTGGGTCTTATTTTGTTTGTCTGAGAAATTGATTGTGACGCAAGGATGATTCAGTATTTTAGCCCTCAAATTAAAATCTTTTTTGGCCCCTAACAAATGGCAACCTCAGTCCTTTGCAGCTACGAGTCCACACTTTGGTCACATAATGCATAAACTGTTGGATAGCAGACCCAGCCATCAAGTTCATTCCAGTGTGGACTTCACAAAAGGTGCATTGGGGCTTCATTTTAAGCATCTTTTAAACCCTAAAGTGACAAATTGGATACCCTATAGTGCCATGGTCCAGTGGATGGTTTTGCTATTATTTTTCAGCATCAGGAAAGTCAGAACTTGTTGGCAGACTATCACTGTCATTCCATTATCAAGCCCACATCCAGTTCTTTATTCATCACAGAAATCATTCATTTCGCAGGGAGGTTTCCACATTGTGCTTCCATTCCTAGATATGCACAACATTTTATTTAGCGTCTGCCACATGACAGCATCTAGTCCTAGCTAGCTGGAAATGTTTGGCCCCCGTCTAGATGTTGGAATGTTTTGTGGCAGAGGTTCTGTCTCCCCTGTTGGAGCAGGCCAACCTGTAATCTGTCTGAGGTTTTGTGCTGGAGAGTCAAGGCTGCATAACACCTAAATAGCACGTTAACCTCAGATTTCTTCCCATGCTGTGGTCTACTGACGAATGCGGCAGGAAAACGTCGGTGAACCCTCTGCGACTTCAGTAGGGTTCAACATACTCCGCAAGGCCCTGTTATGACCATGTGGAAAACGCATTACAAAGTAAACCCTGAATATAGATGAGTCATTTATGCCTTGAAACAGCTTTTCGAGAAATACTTTCTTGTGGTATTTCACTGATCTGCACAAAGGACTGCATTGTATTATGTTGTTGTCTTGAATCAGACACCATGATTTGCACAGAGATAAATTTGATTTGTTGTATCGTTTTAAGTCTACATTCGATGTTTCTTTAATTTTCTGCTTGATAAAATAAAGTGAGCTGTTTACTGCTGGGACAAATGCTTCTTGTTTTGTTTTAAAAGGGTCGGTTTTCTCCTTTCTGTTGCAGGTCCTGGCTCTCATCTCATTCATCTTCATTGAGACCATAATGATGTGCTCGCCCTGTGCCGGCGTCTACCTCTTTGAGTTTGTCAGTTGCAGTGCCTTCGTTGTCACAGGCGTCTTGCTCCTCATCTTCAGCCTGAACCTGCACACCAAAGTGCCCCATATCAACTGGAGTCTAACAGTATGTAATTCTTATCAAGATCCACATAAAATTTTACGAAATACTTCACAACGTTAGACTTTTAAAAGGATAGTTTGCCCAAAAACTGAATATTTTGTTGTAATTTATTCCCCCTCATTTAATTTCAAACCTGTGTGGCTTTGCATCCCATTGCTTAGCATGAAAAACAGACCAAAATTTGAGTCTTTTTATTTTTTATTGAATTTATTTAGTTATTGGGGTTTCATTTAATTTAATTTAATCTAATCTAATTGAATTTATTTTTAGATTTCTTCTTTAACTGTGCTTTTCTGTCAGTTTCTGATGTGTATTTGTCTGAGCACCGAGAGAAAGTGTTTGCCTTGAAGACAGTTTTGCAGTGTAACTATTTTTCCTTCAATCCATTTTTTATGGCATGATATTTTAAGAAGCACTTGTGATGATAGATTATGAGAAAGCAGAAGTTATTTGTGTCGATCAGCTGCCTACTTAAATGGAAGAGGTTTTATGTTGCCAAGACATGCCAATAACTCTGTGCTTTTTAGAAAGTAAGCCAGTCTCTTGCGTCCAGTGCTGCTGAGGAGGAGGCCGTGTACACAGGGTTCATATTGCTCAGAATGGAGCTTGACAGCTCTCATTAAACCCGCTTCTAGCAAACATGAATGGCTGCTCTTGGGAGATGAATTTACTGATTCACTGAAAGATTAATAAGGCATGGTTCCCTTTGTCTCCCTGCGTATACACACACACACACTCACACACAATGCTCAGCATAATTGGACCTCAGTGCTGTGGATCTATTACAGAGCTTATGATGGAAAAAGCTGTAGAGTTTTATTTCCAGAGCTGTGCACGAACCAAGAAAAGTAACAGCAACTCACATCCAACCATAACTATTGCGTTGCATTATGGTATACTGAAGAATATGTACCTAACCTCTCACAGACAACAATGAAGTGCCTCTGCCATTTTCAATTCAAATTTCAGTCTTTTCTTTAATATTTAATTTGCCCACCCAAACATAGATGGAGAAAGTTGGACCCTGCATATATTTG